AATCTTTCCACCAATAAGGTTGATGCTGATCCAAGCAAGATTCTAAATTTGATGAATAATTATTTTGAGTGTGAACACAGAAAAAATGAATAACTAGATACTAACATAAGCTTTTTTAAATTAAAATCAATATCCGCCCAAGATTTTATAAAAATTATGGCCTATATATAATGTTTTTATAAAACACACATTCTTTTCTACATGGTGAAGAAACATGGACTAAAGTTCATTCATAGCTATTTGATCAAACAGTGTCAATTAACACATCAATATAAATCTACAGGAAGGTGCTCTTTTCTATGTGACATCTTTTTTAAAAAAAAAATTCGTTTGTTTTTTTTTAGTAATTGGATGGTTACTTATTAATTTTCAGTGTCTAGAGATGATATGTTGAAGTTTCTAAATGGTGATTTATTGCTTGAATTTATATAAAATGAGGACAGACTAAACCAAGTTGGATCAAATTTTATAAGGTAAAGAACTATGAACTATATACTTATAGTTGAGAAGGAACAAAGTTGGTAATATTTCAAGTGAGGAATATCAAATTTGTTAGAGAAATCTCAGGTTTCTTTAGCAGAAATATAGATTTTAGACAAAAAACGATAATGTCACTGCTTGACACTTATTGGTCAGATTTCATGCCTAGTATTAATTATGGAGAGTATGTTCAATAAAACAGTATTTGAACTGAAATTAATTCAGTTAATTAATTAAGTAGTTGGAAGTTCTCAAAACCATGTATAGTTTACCAGGGTTGTTTTTAGTACTTTGTCAGGGCAGACCAGCAGACCCTGAGCTATGGATGAATGGATTACTCCCACACAATGCTGTGAAAGAGAGGCCTAAGGGACTACCTGACTAATGGAACCAGACAGCCTTGATTGCCTGCCTTGTTAAGCTTTTATTGTAACAGCAGTTTGAGGTAAAATATATCTTTAAGATACAGGCAGTAGGGCACATGTGTCAAACACAAGGCCCTCGGGCCAAATCGGTCCTGCCAGGCCTTGCAATGTGGCCTGCACCGTGCTGTCATCACTGCACTCCGCTGCGTTTCCATCACAATGACAGTTTATGACTGTTCAGTAAACCATTTGGCCCGCGATTTAGGCTGGATTTTAGATTTTGGCCCCTTCTCTGATTGAGTTCGACACCCCTACAGTAGGGTAAGTAATCTTGGTAGGACACATTTGTTTATAGTGTTCTTTAAGCAAAGACACCCAAAGATTAAGTATTAGGATTCTAGTAATCACCCGAGGGTCCGCACCTGCACAGACTTGTTTTGAAAGGTCAAGGAATAATTAGAGGAACCGCCTTTGGCACTCCCCAAGGTCGAAATTCTGATAAACTGGGTGGGTGGCTTTTCACATGCTTCACTTTACTCAGAATGTCCTCCTTATTATCTTTCCAACCAAGACTCATGCTTCCCCACAGTACTCAACATTACTCTACCATTTATTTTCCTTTGAAGCATGATTCTCTTTTCCTCTTGGAAACTGAGCCGCCTTTCACTATAGTCCTTAATTTTAGGGTGAAGTTGACTCTATAGTCTGCTCTGGGAACACGGTGGGGGAAAAACTTGGAAAAAAATTAAGCTCAGCATAGATGTACTCTGCTATCATATTTATAGTTTATAGCCAGTGTTCATTCTGATTGATTTATGGTAATGTCTATACTAACAGACAGAATTATCCTATATATAATAAAATATTATATTATTGCCCATAGTGCCACATTGTGTAATTTCATGATTAATGAGAATTAGGCTGAAGACATTTTCTCTTTCCTACTACACTCAGAGATGTGAAGACACAAGACTGGAAATATATTAATATTAAAATGAAAAAATCTGTGAATCCAATATGTAGTAGGTGAGATATTTGGAAATGAAAAAAAAAAGTTCCTAATGACATAATTTGAGCCCTTGGATCAGACCAAGCCTGAAGATAGTGGGTCTACAGTACTTCAGTTCTTAGTTAAAAATAAATAAATAAATAAATAAATAAATTAAGTTTTGTCTAAGTCAAACCAAAAGAATGGAAACTCATTCATCATGTAGGAAGCAAATAATCTCACAAAACAAAACCAGAAGATGTTTACCTTGTAAGACAGAATGAGAAACAAGTTATTTATATATGATTGATCTGTTATCAGACATCTCTTCATTATTGAGAGCATCAAAGTATATACAAGGATAGAAGTTCTAGGTAGACAGATTTGGGATCAGTTAAAGGGAGATCATCTTTGCAATTTAAGTAATCTAATAATAAATAATTTTCTGTGGCAAAGTATCACAATTAAGTCTGATTATAAAGAATATTGTATTAGGTTGAAAGATTCCAATAATATTACTAAAGTCCTTAAAATTTATTGATTAATTACTGAGCTAGACATTGTATCAGGCACTTTATATTCTTTGTCTACAAAGTCAGGATTATATTTAAATGAAGAAACTGGGGATCAGTGAAGTTGAGTTTTTCCAGGGAAATAACCTTAAGAAGCAGTCTAAGAAATAGCAATGATGAGAGTGAAATCCAGTGTATTCTGACTGGCTTTACAACTTTGTTACCTAACATTCTAACAATGCCTGGATTTTTATTGGTTTAAAGCAATCATGAAACATTGTAGTTTACCAATATTTTAGCAATGATTTACATAAAAGAAAAATGAACTAATGTCCAAAAAGGAATTCTTTGATTTATGGACATTAAGGTTCTATGGAAATTCTAAAAATACACTGAAAGAACTTTCACATGTAAAGTCCATGATGACTAGCCCTAGCTGGTTTGGCTCAGTGGATTGAGCATTAGCATGGGGACTGAAGGGTCCCTGGTTCTATTCAGGTCAAGAGCACATGCTCAGGTTACAGGCTTGATCCCCACTAGAGGGTGTGCAGGAGGCAGCCAATCAATGATTCTTTCTCATCATTAATTTTTCTATCTCTCCTTCTCTCTTAAATTGATAACAATATATTTTTTAAAATAAAAACAAAAAATAAAGTCCATGATGACCGAAATATGTCATATTTGTGTGAGCAAAATTGAACTGAGAGGCTTATATGAAGCTCCATAAATGCTAAAAGAAAAAGCCAAACCAAAATTAGTCATAAAAATGCAAAATAAATATGCTATAATTTCTAAAAAAAAAACCAAAAACAAAACAAAACAAAACAAAAAAACTAACAGAATTTTCAGGAAATATGAATTCAAGGACTAAATAGCCACACATTCTTCTAAGAGTTGTAGTCAACACTACTTATTTGAGACGAGGTAATATGGATACATGAAAGAGAAACTTCTTGCTGCAAATAAGGTTCTGATAGAAATTATGCACAGGAATTTTAGTTGATAATTCTATTTCTGAATCATTGCCTCTCAGTGCATCTCCGAAAAAGAAGAAAATATCACCTGCACTAATATAAAATTTAAAAATTTTATATTAGTTCAGGTATTCTGGTAACATGGTTATATAATTGTCATTATAAGACCTCTATTGTTTAAAATCATTATATTTTATAACATGAGAAATATTAGATATTTTCTATTAAAGGACTGATATAATTAAGAAAGCATTTTGCCAGACCTAACTGCTAACTTACATTCTTTTTTTTTTTTTTGGTCATAATAATTTCTCAGTTCTTTAAAAACTGCTGTCTAAAAGTAAATTCCTTATGTGGTTTATTAGATTGAATTTTGTGATCAATTAGACCCAATTTTTAATGATCACTCTGCTATCTGATGGGTTAATTTCTTAATCTCCCCAAATCTCTGTTTTCTCACGTATTAATGGGGCTTATGATAACGTTCACCTACTTTAGAGATTATTATTGGATTAAAAAATACCATATAGTTTAAAACTCCTATGTCTATCCATAAGGTGTTGAATAGATAATAGAAGGGACCCTGTCCTTTCCCTCCAAACTCTCCCCCTGCTTTTCTGACTTCCTCAAAGTTAATCTTAAGACTAATGAAAAATATCCATCTCCTTAACACCAATCAGATTTTAACACTATGTTTTGGTATATAAGCTATTGTCAATCTTCTGAAGTGTATAATATGTGAGAAAGGGAGGAGATTTCATTATAAAAATATTAAGAATGAATGGGAGTCTGTGTTTAAATCAAACTCTATTTCTTTTCATCATTCCATTTTATTTCAGAATCCACTTACCCTTCTTCCAGTATGAGTCATGTTACCTGGCGCCATGGATTCTCTTAGTTGTATTGCAGAATAGTTTTCATGCATAAAGTCTGTCACTGCCAAATTTGAACTTGGAAAATTGGTTCTTCCCTAATTTGGGGAAAGTTACTTAGTGTTTAACTACCCTGGAAACATATTACCTCCTAGGTATAGATAGCCTCAGAGCTGTTGCTGGAACACAATGAAAAAAGGAAATGAAATCAAACCTCATTAGCTCAGACCCTAGATGTTTTGTAAGCAGATAACAGTTCCCTTGAAATGGGAAACTGGGGAAAAGGCCACAAATAAATTAAGTAATTATCCTCCTAAAATCACATAGTGATAGAGAGCAGCAGTCATAATCACAACCTCTCAGAAGATTTAGGACGCCAGAATTTTGGCTAAGCAAGCATATATACTTCTCTAGTTTAGGAAGAGCTTTGTAAGTACAGAGCTACATTTTATCTTGGTTTTTGTATTCTTTGCATTTGAAACTGAATAGATCAGGAGACTAAAATGTGTAGATAATACATATCAAAGTCCCAAAATAATTGAGCTCACGGCCAAAACCGGTTTGGCTCAGTGGTAGAGCGTCAGTCTACGGACTGAAAGGTCTCAGGTTCGATTCTGGACAAGGGCATGTACTTTGCTTATGGGCACATCCCCAGATGTTTCTCTCTCATTGACATTTCTAGCTATCTCTCTCCCTTCCTCTCTGTAAAAAATCAATAAAATATATTTAAAAAAATAATTATTGAGCTCATTTATTTTTCATATATTTTATGTTATGTTATGTTATTTGTTTTTGCTAATCAATGCCCTCCCCTTGCCCCCTTTCACAACACATACCAGGCAAAGGGTCCAGGCTGGGGTGTATATGGGGTGGGTTCACTCCCTCTCTTCTTTCTATATAGTTAGTGTAAAAACACAGCCTGTGGGAAGTACTAGAATGCCTATTTTTCATGTATTTTAGTTATTACCCATTGAGTACATATGTTGAGTATACACAGGAGAAGTCAGTGCCCTGGCATCATGAAAAAAAAAATCAGCTCTATAATGAATAAAAAGATACAGATCCATTCTCTTTTCCCCCTGCCCAACAAAATGGGAACATCAAATTTTAATTCCTGAAAACTTTAAATCATTAGAAAAACAAAGGAATAAAGTTCCACTCTCTCTCTCTCTCTTTTTTTAACCATGTATGGAATCCAGCTATGTGAAAGACTTGCAACCGAAAACACTATTTTGCCAATGCTTTCTGAAAGCAGCAAACATTGATATACAATTTCATTTTGTTTTAATGATAGAAGATACACATGTCACCAGCAGACATATCCTGTCTATGCTTGTGTCTTCAAAGTCTATTTTTTAATTAGCTTAAACCCCTGAGCTGTTAAATGTAGCATAAACCTTCTGTGAACTTCCACTGCTCTGCAGCATGGGAAAACATCTTTAATTGGACCGGAGAGGGAAAGAGAAAAAGAAGAGGGCTTTTAAACGTTGGGTTGTTCAGATAAGAAACATTCTGGATGCTTCAGCAAAATCACCAACCCTCTGAGATTCAGCTTTGACTATTATTACTGATGTTATGCTTTCAGTGTACAATAAATTAGATCTTGAACACATTATGGACCAAATACTACTATCCTTTGATGCTCATGTGTAACTCTTAACAGGTTTCAATGGGAGATGTCCATGGTTACTTGCAAGTAGTTTTAACATTATTTTTCTACTCTAAATCTAATACAATGAAGGCACTGGGAAGAAATATGTGGGGGAAATTTAATAGTAATGATATCTTTAGTTTGTTTAGCACATTACCATTTACAGAGCTTTATACCACACATGATTTCATTACATCTGTATAATAAGCTATATTTGGTTGTATATGTATAAATGTACTAACTAAAGAGTCTTCAAAATAAATTTGTTAAATGTTTCAAAGACCAATGCCTGCTTAAATTTTTTTTTGTTAATCCTCACCCAAAGATATTTTTCCTTTGACATTAGAGAGGGTGGGAGGGAGAGGGAGAGACAGAGAAAGAAACATTAATGTGAGAGAAACATATCACTTAGTGGCCTCTCGATTTGCCTACCAGGGTCAGGGATTAAGCCTGCAACCCAGGAACAAACACTTGACTAGAATCAAACTTGGGACCCTTCAGTCTGAAGGCCCATGTTCTATCCACTGAGCCAAACTAGCTTGGGCTGACTGTTTAAATTTATGTTTAACACAGCAGTATGTTGAAAAAAATAAAATTGTGAATTTAATTATGTCAAATGATCAATTACACTCTAATAACAGGAGTAGTTTATTCTCTATAAAATATATTGAAACTATTATAATTATAGAGTAATTAATTTTATTTTACATTTCTCTCACTTTTGTAAACCTCCCATATCTTGTTTTTCTTTTTCTTTCTCATTATTTCTCAATTGCATGAATTTGTTTGTTTTAGTTTTACAGTTTAGTTTTTGTTTTAATTTTCTGGTTCATCATCTAGGAAAGTATTTACCAGGATATAAGCTTCTAACAAGAGATATTCTGAGGCAGCATCTTGAGTCACTGTCATGGGTGGTTGAATTTCTGAGAATACTTCACCATGCAAAGTAGGCTAAACCCGCTTTCTAGCTACCAATTAGCATTCTGTCTTTTCCAAGTACCTGTAAGGATGCATTAGAAATGGAATTGTCAGATTTATTACATGTTTCTTTGTTTCTGTATTTCTGTATTTATTTATTTATTTACTTACTTACTTAATTACTATTACAAAGAGATAGACTACTCTGATCTTCAGACCAAAAATACAAACACAAGGAAAAAAGTACAGGTGCTATTGTGCAAAATGTAAGCTATGTATGGAATATTTATAAAAGGGAATTCATTCATTTTTTATTCAGCAAAATATTTATTGAGGTCATATTGTTGTGTCTGAAATGGTGCTAGGTGCTGGGAATATATGTGTAAACTATAATAACAAAGTGAAAAACAAGAACAATAACTACCTTTGTGGAGGAGCATGGAAGACAGTGATAATAGCAAACCATAATGAATAACTGAATTTTGTAGTCTGCCAGAAGATGATAAATGCTTGTTACAAAGAGAACTGGGTCAGACAGGTCAGGAACATGTGGAGAGGGGATTACAGTTAGCCTTGAGGAGGTAGGTGTATTTGAACAAGACTTCAAGGTGGTGAGGGGATTAGCCAAGAAGCTACCAGGGAGAGGAATGTTTTAAGAGATGGGATGCCAAAGACCCAAATTTGGAAAGATGCCCAGTGACTTTCTGGACCAGCTGAAGCTCAAGAGGTTGGCGAAGAGTAAACCAGGAAGAAAGTAAGAGGAGGGGGATCAGAAAGTGAAGGCTGGGAGTAAAGCATGATAATAGGTCACTGTCACCTTTAATTCTGCTTTAGCAGGAAAGCTCTAACAGATTCTGAGCAGAGGAATGACACAAAATTACTTTTAATCAGGACATCCTCATTGCTCTGTTGAGAATAGACTTCAGGAAACCAGCAGGGGCAATTACTTAACATTTTTAAAGAATGAAAGGAAGATTGAAATAAGGAAGATACTTTGGGGGTTCTTAACTTTATACAAGATCATAAAGTAGTTAAAATTAACTGCAATATTCCAAGATTTTCTTTTGTTACCATTCTTTCTTTTTTTCTTCCTTCCTTCCTTCCTTTTTTTTCCCCTCCCCTATGTACTTTCTCTTTGTTAAACTTGATCACAGCAAATGATCCTATAACCACAAGCTAAGGAAAAAGTGTCTATTAGCCCTTTTAATGATTTGCCGACATTTTAACCAGTAGTAATGCATGGGGACAAATTTTCAATGATTACACTTCAAGCCTTCAAGGGCATGGTGATCTAATTTTTTATTGGAGAAGAAATGTGGGTAGACCTGTGGATAACATTAGTCAATTCTGATTCTAGATTTTCTATAAATGTTTCTCTTAATCAGAAAATCAAATATAAAAATTAAAAACTGACACTATTTTTTTTATTTGAAGTAGATGGCTAACTTTAACGTCTCTATAAATGTTCATTGAGTTGTTATAGGGTGCCAGGCAAGAATCAAGTCCCTAGTAATAACATTTGAATGAGACACTGTACCTCCCCCCTCTCAGAGTACTTAGAGGATGGATCCAGAACATTAGAAGTGTGAACAATTTCAGGATAGTGGTGAAAGATCTACTGAAGAAAAAAGTAAGCGCCTGTGTCTATTACAGCTCATCTGATAATCCTTCTACTTCTGTTCAACCTCATCACCATTCACCTCTTTCTAATGCTGTTTGTTTCTATGAACAACAACATCACCTCACGTTCCCATGGGCTCTTAAACCTGGGGTTGCCACTAATTTCTCCTGTTTCTTCATTTCCAACATTCTTTTATGGAGGACCTGTGCCTGACACATTTGATCCACAATTTTCCTAACATCTTTTCAAATGTCCATACTTCCATTTACATCCCTATTGTCCTTCCTGCAGATTCTTAAAAATGATTATTAATTGGATTTCCTCTCTTTAGTCTCTACTTGATCCAATGTGTTCCAATAGGCTTACAGTGTATCTGTGATCATACCAAACACATGTCAAATGAATAATAAATAATAAAATAACAACAGAAGATTTCTATTTACCATATTATTGGTTATAACCTACTTTGTCTGACATTCATTGTCTTTTATGACCTGATTCTAACCTATTATTTTAGCTACATCATTTATTATTTTCTCACATATCCTATGAGCTATATAAACCTGCCCGTTTGCTGTTTCCCAAATATGTTTTGTACTTTTGGATATATATATATAATAAAAGCCTAATATGCAAATTGTCCCCTTGGGCAGTAATTGAACCAGGAGACTAGGAGTTCAACTACTCACTATGACATGCACTGACCATCAGAGGGAGGTGTGAAACATGGCAGGCATCTGCAACACAGAGCTGGCAGTGGGTGGCAGCAGAGGCACTGCTGGCCCCTCTGGGCCCCGACAAGAACAGAACACCGGCGGGATGGTGGATCAGGTGAGCGGGTGGTGCCAGTCCAAGGCGGGTGCAAGTGGGGAACTGATCACCCTGCAGATGGTGATCAGCAGCCAGCAGGCCCTGATCACCCAATCGGGACCGGGCCCAGGCCTGGGACAGGGAGATGGGTGTGGGTGGCAGCAATCAACCTCCTGAGGTGCTTGGATGGGTTGCTGGAACCTCTCGCTGGCTACCTGAGGGTGGCAGTGACAGGGACAGAGGTGCAGTAGGAATGCAGCGTGCCCTCTCTGCACCCACGTGGCCTCTTCTGGGTGAGTCAGGCCTCAGCTACTGGGACTGCCAGGACCACAGGGGCTGGTCGGGCTCCCTGTGGACATGCACAGGAGCTAGTCTGCAAGGCCGGCGGAGAAAAAGAGCACTGCCTTCCCAGCTTTCATGCAGCGCTGGTGAGCAGCCCAGAGGCCCACATTGCGCCCTGGCCCAGGCCTCCGGCTGCACTCACCGCTTCTCCATGTGCGGACTAGGGTGCTATGATTCAGGCAGAGGGAGGTACGCTGGGGACCAGGGGCCTAGGTGCTGCCCAGGGCCCAGAGGTCAGGTGGGACCTGTCCCTTCATGCCAGATGCTCATGCTTTGATCACCGGCCACTCCTAGGGACCACATCTGTGTGCAAATTTCATGCATCAGGCCTCTAGTGTGTATATATACCATTAGCCCATTTTCCAGGTCATCTGCAAATGTCCTACCATCGTTTAAGGCTATAAAATCATCTTCCTTATAAAATCTTTCTTCAAACATATCTTTTCTTCATAAAATCCAGGATTGCAGTGTCTGTGGTCTCATCAATTTTGGTTTTCAGAATTGCTCTTTGGATTCAAATAAATATATAATCAATTAAATTGGCTATAACTTTACTATACTGCCTTAACATTTTTCAAAAATTTTACATACTATTTTT